TTGTGATTTTTAATTGATTTTCAGTATTAAAAAAACATTATTTCAACGATTATATTTAAAATTCAGGTACATAGGAACTATTTTTACTAAGAAAGAGGTAAAAGGGGGTCAGTGGCGACTTCAAACTGAGTGATGAGACTAGTGTGACATATCCTTAGTCCAAGCTTGAGTGATAGTAAATGGAGTCCTTAACTTCTAGACACCAGAGCACCCCACAAAGCCAAACAGACAAGGGGAATGGTGGACATTATGTTTTGGAACCGGTTTGGTAGCAACAGATTATACCGGAATCAGTTTAACCCTTTGACCCCTGTGTTCCTGAACACTTTCATCCCTTGAGCTTCTGTGTCAATATTCGCAAATAATTGGTATCTAATGTTTCACGGTAGATATAAAAATAGTTACAAGTGTTTACCAACCGGTGGCTGGGCGTTAAGTCATTTTTCTCTGCCACTGTTCATCTGGTGGCTGATCATTACGTCATTTTTCTCTATCACCGGTAAAACGGTGGTCAGGGATCAAAGGGTTAATGTTGACTTTCACCTACCTTATGGTGTTCACTCAGATTTTCTGTCTGGATTTACTTTCATGATTTTCCATGTTTGAATATGGCCGCAAAGCGGGAGTGGTTTAATAACAGAGTTTTCCTTCCGCAAGAGGAACTGCTTACCACGGTTAATCGTCGCGTTGCTGAGACAGTATCCGTAGCACTACGAAATATAGATCGAAGAAGACCGAGATCCGCTCGTACGCCTGACAATAAATCAGGTATCAACACACGTCAAGTGGCCTTAGCATGTCGTACATCTCATCGTACCACACGGAGGGTACTTCAAGAGCAGCTCCAGTATCCGTATGATTTGCAACGTGTGCAGGGTCTTTCGCCATCTGATCACTCACCACGATGGTTTATTGCACAAACTACCGATACCTTCTTTGTCTCTTCAGTCTTGTTCAGGGATGTGACCACATTTTGAAGGAATGGAATAACAAATTCACAACCAACATTTGTGGGCGGATTGGAATCCTCATGGTACAATACAGGCTAGGCAACAGCATCAGTTTACGATTAATGTGTGGGCTGGAATTGTAAATGGCTGTCTGGGAGCTACATATGTTCTCTCAGTAGGAGCTGTCTACAGGGACTTTATTTCGAACATACTTCCAGACCTGCAAGAGGTAACTCTCTGGTAGCTCCATATGTTTTCCCACATCTTACGGGACTTTATTTCACTCTTCCTGGCCTGCTAGAGGATGTACCTCTGCTAATACGATGACGCATATGGTCCATGCATGATGGAGCTCCAACATATTTTAATCACATTGTTCACGATACACTGGCTGACATCTACCATGAAAAGTGGATAGGTAGCGGGTATCGATTCCATTGCCTGCATGTGCCCCCGACCTCAATGTTTTTGATTTTTTCTTTGTGGAGCCACCTAAAACAATTGGTTTGTGTAGCAGACATTACTAATAAGCAGGCGCTTCATCAACGTGTCATTGGGGCTCGCGAAACCATTCGACAGCATTTGGGAGTATCTGGAACGCTTCGCTAGTCAATAATCCGACAGGTGACGGCGTACTTAGAAGCAACCGGAGGACATTTTGAACATTTGTTACTGTAGAACAATAACGTTGTAAAGATAAACACTCGGCTGTGGAACAAGCTGAGAAAAGACACCTCCACCTTGGGAAAGAGAGCTTTTTATGGTGCCATGGAGCATCTCATTGTGCTCAAGTGCGATAATTCATTGCTTGGGCTGTGATTGGCTGCTGGTACATGAGTGGAGATATTTCTGTATAAATACCAGCTTGATTCCAGTCAGTTTGCGGGGTTTGTATTAAGTTACAACCTGCTTTATTTTTGTCTGCCAGCTGGACGCTACCTGGGACCCTTACGCCGGTAAGTGTTCTTATTCTATCGTATTCTACACTTACAAGTTGTTGCGTTTAGGCGCAACGAATATTTGTACATCTCATAGTACTACAGGGAGGGTACTTCAAGAGTATCTGTATTCGACGTGTGCAGGGTCTTTCGCCCTCTGATAAGTTACCACTAGAGACATGGAGGGTACTTCAAGAGTATCTGTATTCGACGTGTGCAGGGTCTTTCGCCCTCTGATAAGTTACCACTGGATAAATTTTGCCTATGGTGTATTGTAAAAACTGCCAATGTGTTGTCTATCTCTTCAGTCTTGTTCACGGATGAGACATCATCTGGAAGAAATGGAATAACAAATTTACACAACCAACATTTGTGGGCGGATTGGAATCCTCATGGTACAATACAGGCTAGGCACCAGCATTAGTTTACGATTAATGTGTGGGCTGAAATTGTAAATGGCTGTCTGGGGGCTACATATGTGCTCCTAGTAGAAGCTGTCTACAGGGACTTTATTTCGAACATACTTCCAGACCTGCTAGATGATTACCCCTGCTAATACGAAAACAACATGTGATTCATGCATGATTGAGCTCAAGCACATTTTAGTCACATTGTTCGCGATGCATTGGCTGGCATCTACCATGAAAAATGGATAGGTATGGGAGGACCGTTTCCATTGTCTGCACGTCCCCTCGACCTCAATTCTTTGAATTTTTATCTGTGGGGCCACATAAAACAATTAGTTTATGCAGTAGACATTAATAATTCAGAGACGCTTCATCAACGTGTCATGGAAGCCTGAGAAACCATTCATCACTGTGTGGGAGTATTTGAAAGAGTCCGCCAGTTAATGATCCGACGGGTGCATACGTGTATAGAAGCAAGCAGAGGACATTTTGAACATTTGTTAGGGGTTGCTATGTTGCAAAGATGCCCTTTTGGACATATATTTATATGAACATTTTACTTTGTTCTGGTGTCAGAAATCCGGACCCAAAGTTTGTAAAAGTATTTTGATACAACCTGTATATATACAATTCATTTTTTAGTTATTAAGTTTAAAAAAAGTTTACGGTAGTTGACGCTGTGTTGCCATGTAGAGTAGGTTACATTTGTCATCCGTATGCATTTGTGGCTAGTCTGTCTTCAATGTTTAACGTGTGTCGTAGTGAGTTAACTGAAATTGTTCCGTTTAACAATGGCAGGATATTCATATCGGGAGCAGGCAGATATAATTTTTACATACGGCCGCGTGAATGGTAATGGACCCGAGGCTGCATGGCTGTATCAGATTGCATTTTGGAGACCGAAGGCAGCCGAGTCATCCAATCTTCGCTGTTGTTTATCGTCACGTTACTCAGACAGGAATCGTGGCACCACAAACTATGGTTATAAGTATTTTTGTATTGTAACTTGAATTGTACATTTAATAGCGTCAAACGTTAACTTTAGACTTAATAACTCAAAAAACGAACAATTTGCAGACATATGTTTATATGAACTTTTGTCCTTGTTTTGGCGTGAGAAACTTGCCCTCAAAGTTTGTAAAAGTATTTCTAATACACCCTGTATATAGTCGCTTGAAGGTCGTGATAGCGTGAAACTCAAGTCGTGACTCGAGCTGTGGCTTGTTAAAGGTTGACGTTGTGAAGCGTTTTCGGCCCTATCTAGATAGCTGAGGCATTAAGTATTTTTATTTACTGCTTATGAAGGTTTTGCCTTTAGATCTTTTTTTTTAGTTTAGGATTTTTCTTGTTTAAGGTTTTAGGTTTTTTGGCAGTTAGTCTGTTGGTCGAGACATTTACAACAACATTCCTATCCACATTCACAGTATAGAAAAATACTGATTGATAACACAACTATCCTACACCAAGAAAATAACAAATTAAAACTACAGATCCTCGAAGCAATCTACATTAAAAAATTGAAGCTGACACTGAATATAATCAACTACGAATACTGCAATAAAAAATACTGTTCTAATTTTAACGCTTTAATGAGCGTTTGACCCTGACATTTCAACATAAAAGAAAAAAAATTATAATGAATATTTTTTTACATTCTAATGAAAGATAAAGTAAAACTGCCAGCTATTATTTTAACGCCAAAAGAAAACAATCAGTAATACACATAGTTTTTGCCTTACAAGTTGCACCTCTGATGATGATCTCAGAAAGAGATGGAAAGTACTTGGGAAATAAATTTTCACTGTTACAGTGAATTTCTTGCATTATTTGATTGTAATACACGGAAAAATATCCGTGAATATGAACAGATTATGTTAGACATAAGCAGACATAAAATTTGTAATTTATTTAATCAGACATGCCTAAAAAAGAATTTTCTGCTTGACTACACATACACACACACACACACTTATATATATACATATATATGCGTGTGTGTGTGTGTGTATATATATATATATATATATATATATATATATATATATATATATATATATATATATATAAATGTATATATACACACAAATACACACACATATATATATATGCACATAGGTAATGCAAGTAATGCAAGTAGATCCTATTTATATAAAATATTAAAACTGATCCACAAAAGAGAGCTCAATATAATTTTTATTATAGAGAATATAAGTGAATTACAATTAATGAGATCCAAACGATTTACCTCATACAGATGATCATTTCGTCCACGGGAAAGTAGTTTCTTATCAATGCAAACGCATTAACAAATATATATATATATATATATATATATATATATATATATATATATATATATATATATATATATATATAATATATATATAATAAAACATGTATGTATATAATAAATTATGTTATTGTATATCTTTCAAATCAAATTTGTAATGATAGTTAATCTTATTTAGCTGGTACAAAAATTATATCGATTCTAAAAACAGTTACACTTTTTCATTGTATTTAATACTAAAGTCAGAAATATGTATGTATGGTGTTTGAGATATTACTGATTCAATTGTCACTTCCTCATTTTTGCAAATTAGCGTTTAAGCTTAATTTTAATTGAAAATAATGCTTCTTTGAAAATAAATTGACATGTAGAATACAAGTATTAATATGCTTGAAGTCTTTATTTTCAATGTCAGATTGCAAACGCTGTACATATCTCTCTCCTTCTCTCACTCTCCTTCTCTTTTCTCTCTCTTACTTTCTCTATCTACCCCTCTCTATCTCCTTTTCTCTCTCCTTCTCTCTACTTCTCTGTCTCTCTCTCCTTCTCTTTCTACTTCTCTCTGTCTACTTGCTTTTCTCTCTCTTCTTTCTCTTTCTCTCTCCAATTCCTTTAAAATTCCGCGCAATTTACTCTTTCAGAATCTTGTGACCTTGCATTCTTTTGAAACACATTCTGACTGCGTCCTGTAAATATAAACAAAACATTTTTCAAACTTCATCTGACCTAATTTTTAATGACTAATAATTGTTTTCGGCTAAAACTATCAGTGTTTGTTGTTTTTCCCCCAAGATAGCTACGGGCAAAGATTTTCACGGTTGGTTAACTTTCTATATATGAGTCTGTCTATATAAATAACTATTGATGGGAATCAGATTAATCCATTACATAAAAGTACAAAAATAAGTTGTATTCAAATAACAGTTTATTTTTTAGGGGTTCAGCTGATAATTTTGGGGTCTGCTTGGTTGGTTTCAATGTTTAAACGTATGAAAAGTATGAGACTATCTATTCGTCACGCATGAGAAATTTAACCAATTCAAATGCCCTTTTCGAGGAAAACAAGCATAAATATTCTTTGTAATTTTTAGCGTTGTTGTTTTGGGTTAAACTTTCTCTGGGAACATCAACTTATAATCCAGTTTTTATTAGTTACGAAATATATCTTATGACATCTGCATGCTGTTAATAGTGACAGAAAACTTGTCAACTATATACTGACATGATGCAGAAAGTAGTACACGTGATTCTGCAGTGGTTCTTCGTCATTATCTATGTGTCGTGTCACTTTAAAACGTGGGCGATGATGGCTTTCCACAACTTCCTATCCTTAGTAATGTTTGTCTTTTCATTATCTTTCCTATTCTTGTTCTGCCATGGTTGCCCCATTATTCATATAATGAAGAAAGAAGGCTTGAAGAATTTAACACTCTCAGGGTACATTGAGGGCAATAATATCAAGTAAAACACATCGATTAACTAAATTGGCAAGTTAAAGTAAATTGATCGCAGAACACGTAGAACGAAGAAGGGTTGTAAAGGAGCAAGAATTACTTTGAGCAACCAATGGGGGGAAGTTGTGGAGAGCCGTGCTTGCTCACTTCCAGAAAGAACATGGGATGAAGACAGAGAAATAGAGAAAGGAAAGATGAAGCACTGTTATTTATTCAGTCCCTGTACTGCCATCCATTTTTTTTTAAGCATTACGCCCCGAGCAAGGCGTGAGGCCACTAAGATGCAGGGGTTTGCAGAAGATTTGGAGCGAGAGCAGATAGGAGTGATAGAAGAAAGGATGAGGAGAAGGATAGTGGATAGATCAAGGTAACTGGAGGTGTCGATTGGCATTACATTTGAATAGTTGGAGATTATAGCTCTCAGGGAAACAGTAATTGGGAAGGGTGTTCCAGAGGCGAAAGGTGCGAGGTATGACGCTGTTGGAGTACACAAGCTCAGTAGGTAGGTTACACGCTTTGTCCCTCTGTCTTTCTTGCCTGTCCTGTGAGTTACAGATTTTTCAAGCTCTTCTTCCTCAATGTGTCCTAGAAATTTCACTGTCTCTTTCTAAATATAAGCGTCATTTTATTGCCATTTTCTTTAAAAATTGCCTCGTTACTCACATATTCAGTCCTTGGTATTCTTTCTGTACATCCACACTTTTGCCTCATATCTCTTCTTCATCTCCGACGAAATTGCCTAGCATCCATTGCCATACCGGAAGATTGATATTACATACCATTTCAGCACTCTTTTCTTGCTTTCTAGCGATTTTTGTATAGTGAACCTTGTTAGTTCTCCATTTTTTGTTTAAGAAATATATTCGAGTGTCAAAGTTGGCTCAATCTTGTAAATATCAATAACAAACCAAACCCCATTTCCCACGTGTATTCTAATACCGATACTTTTACGTTAAACATAAAAGCAAAAGTTATTTGACTGATTCTAATTAACCCTCCGTTAGTACCGAGGGGTGTTTGAATAGCCCACAAATGTTTTCCTTAATATTTAGCAAATCGTATTCAAATGTTCTTCATTAGTCAAGTAGCTACAAGAACTTTCCTGTTTTAGTCATAATATTTTGTCTATCATAAGAACGTGACCGTAAAAACAGCCTGAAATAATTGTGGCAGAAACGTAGATCAGAGTAAACTTCTTGAAAGAAAACCAGTTGAAGGAGTTGGATGGACCATTAATTATTTCGCAAGATTATACTGAAAATAAAATGAAACCTATTTTGAACTTTTGGAACTTACAAGTAAGTAAATCTTGGTAAAAAAATGGTTACTAAAGACATTACGTTTATAATTCCCAGAAATTCATACACAGATGTCCTCAAGAACACATGGCACAGCTGCGGATAAAGGCGTTAGTTAGATCCAGTGACAGGACCCAAAGAGTGTGAGTTCAATACCCGGTTAAGGCGAGAACTTGGAGAGGGGGATTAACAGGAGATAACTGATAACTGACGTCCATTAAAAACATGGTACGTGAAACTAGAACAGTCCAAACCCAGTGAGCGAAATAAAAGGATCAGTTCGACATTCCAACCACCTGAAGAAGGCCAGAGCGTACAACGACCGAAACGTTGTGATAAACATGGCAACAAAGATGCGGACAATAGTCCGAATAATGTAAATAGTGTAGCATAAGTAATTTAGTTTAAATCTGATGACAGGGTGTGATATATACTTCAAGACGTTTGATGGGTGGCCTGGGTAAAAAGTAGTAAATAATGCGAATATCTATAAAATATTTGAAGTTATAGTTACATTTCTAGAGAATCAGTAAAACTTCAAAATTTAAAAAAAAAGCAAATTATAATTTCATAATATTTTTATGTTTTTCAAATGTTATACTATGTACCCTAATATTTGATATATTTTATATAATAACATCAGTACAATTATATTGTGTAGCTTTAAATATATTTTCTTATATATTAATTAATATGTAAGTGGCGTTGAGGCATACTTTGAGATTGTAACCATTATTTTATTGAACATAAAACACTACGCGTCCTGGGTATGACGATAAACTACGTCCAACAGCAAGGCCTCTGATAATAAGTTTTTGGAAAAATAATGTTGCCAGCTGTAAGTTTTTGAAAAAATATTACCAGCTATATGATTTTTTTTTTTTTTTTTTTTGAAAGAATAGTGTTGCCGGCTATACTTTTTTGAAAAAATATTACCAGCTATACATTTGAGGAAAAATATTAGCAGAAATTTGACAAAACAAAAATATTACCAGGAAAAGTTGTCGGTATTAAATAACCCATTGAGGTTGATATGCCGTAAAACAAACCAAACCATGAAACTCTACCTAACTGAGTTTTCAATGGACTAGAGTCCGTCTGAAGTTATTATGCAAACCACCTAAACCTCAATAACTCGAATTTGCTTTGAACATTTTTTGTCAAATTTTAAGTGTCGTTCCGGGCCTATTCCCGCCTTCTACTTTGGTTATGATCCAAATCGAGATTCCTAACCTCCTCAGTTTGTTTTTGCCAACCCCCCTTTTTTTATCCCGACTGGGTCAGCTTTCGTCTTTCCCCATGGCCGTATTTATTTTATCCTTTTCCTCTCCCTTAGTGGGAGACCCTCTTGGTTTTGTCTATAGACAGAATACAGCGGCCTCCCTGAATTCTTTTGAGGGCTTGACGGGTCCAACTAACATCAGTTATCCTTTTATTTTGTGTATTTTCTTCTGATATGTTAGTTTGTTTTGGGGTTCATTCCCTCCCACTTATTGTTTTGGGGTTCATTCCCTTCCACTTATTACGTATCATCCACTGATCTTTGTACACAGAATTTTAAAATCGCTAATTTTGATGTCATGGGTTGTTTTTATAAGTCCCCTGAGAGTATTGCGGTATTGTGGTATATGGAGGATTGAATGATGATGGATAAGTTCTTTTGGAGGAAGTGCAAATTGCAATGAGGAAAATGGGTTGGGAATCTGATTAGCTAGGTACATGATAATAAGTGATGACCAGCCTCAGACCCATTCTTCCCCATTTTCGGCCTTGTGCCACAATTGTATTTTACATAAAATAAATCTAGGCATCACAACAAAGCTTGAGTTAAATTTTTTTAGCAAATTCGAGTTACTGAGGCTTTTGTTTATGTTACAACAAAAGAGAAAAGAATAAATCCATTCAATTGTATATTTTCAAAGATCATGCACACGGAAATAAATTTTACCTTTTTTTTTTTTAGTTCAATTGAAAAAATAATCTTAGAAACAAAAATTATGTATTGTAAGTAAAGTTATCTACCAAAGCATTAAATTCCAATGTAACTCTAATTACACAGGTAATCTCTCTTCCATTGTTCTATCATGGCATCTATAACAATACATAATACCGGATGCAAGCATTTAATCATGGCGGACATTTACTTCGGATGATTTATGAAAACGAAAAGCCGCCCATTAGAGCAAGAAACGACGCATGTATTACCATTTGTCAGCTGGAAGAGTTCAGTGTTTGATCTTCATTTAGCAAGAAAAATAAGAATGAAGCTAGAAGTTTTTGCAGCTTTTAGTGACCAGGATATTAAAAAAAAAAGTCTGGCTGAGTGCTTTGTATTCCTTTATCATTATCGTCTGCTGTGATGACTCTCTTTGTGGAGACAATGGCGCCAGCGTTCAGAATAATAATGGAGACTACTCGCTGACAATGGACTTCAATTAGGAGAAAAAAAGGGGGCATTTCACAGGTGTACCAAGCGTCCTCACATCCAGTTATATTCACAACTATGATTTCTGACAAATTTCTACGTTTTTTCTTCTCGGCCTCAATCAATATATTTACTTTTTCTATATCTATCACTCTTCATTCGTCTGTCTCTATATGCCCATCTCTTCTTTTCTCTCTCTCCCTCTCTCTCTCGCTCTCTCTCTCTCTCTCTCTCTCTCTCTATATATATATATATATATATATATATATATATATAGGTGTGTGTGTGTGCGCGCGCACGCGCGTGTATACTTCATTTTTCTTTGTTTAGTTTTCCAGTTTGTCTTTCTCTCGCCCACTTTCCCCTCTGTGTGTCTCTATAGGTCCGTTTTCTCTTTCTCTGTAAAATCCTGTTTGTATCTATTTGTGTGTATACATAA